TTCCTCCCGGTCTCTACCAAGTTCAGGTCACTAGTAATGCCAGCCAGAAGGTTGCGGCACCTGCTTCTGCTGGAGGCAACATCACCGTCAATACCTCCACCTCTCAAGTCGTAAGTAAATAAGGCGGACCATCACCGACTCTTTTGGCCCCGTTCTCGTTTAAGGACTATCACTGACGATCTCGACATCAGTGGCAAATTACTGGTGACGGTGTGATCACATCGTTCCAGACTGGAAGCTCTGCTACCCAAGCCCGGACGCCGAATGTCCCTGCTATTACGGGAAACAATGTGGTTGCTAATGCTGGAACTATCGCGCAGCAATGGATTATTTCGGGAGCGAATCTGTAAGTGGCATCTTTGAGTGGTCGCAGTTCTGACCACCGGGAGTGTTCAAAATGATGGGACTAATTTGTTCATTCATTTCCTAGCATTTCCAACACTTATTGGACCGGATATGTCATGACCAGCGATGGAACTCGGCTTTTCTGGGGTGTCGATGGCAGTAATGTAAGTCATGCATAATGGACTCCTCCTTCATGGAGCTAACGTAGCTTTGCGGTGTGTTTGTCCTGCAGAATGTACTTGTTACAGGAACTAGTGCCAAGACTCAGTTCAACTTCATTCCCATCGCTGTTTAAGCTGTAGGATATTTGTCACCAGCATCTGCGAAGGCCAAGCACGCACTTCCGGTCGAGATAATGTATATCCTTATGTATTCTCTCGTCATTATTTAAATGTATCAGGGAGCCATTGATGTTGTTCAACACAATGCTTTGGAACCTGTAGTGTACTCTTCTTGTATTCCAGCTGGAAAATAAATCATTTTCGAACGTACATCCCGCAACCCGTTCGTCGAGGCCAACTCGAGCTATCAAGTCAAGATGTATCGTACAACTCTAGGTTCTGGAAACTGTATATCAGCATATAAGCCTATCTCCGGGTCTTAAGGGCATTAAACACATAAAACAATAACTAAAATTCAACTGTCCGACAAGGTGGTCGAGATACTATGGCTAAGAATCTGATAGGAGATTGGCAGATTGATCCATGCGTATCTCGCTCACTACTTTCTAGCAAGGGTACATCAAATTTTGCAGGCTTTTTTTGGGAGAATCCGTGTACTCACTCTTCATACTGGTATGATGTTCAATGTCACGGAGTAGCATTGTACGGGACTAGATCCAGATGCCCCAGATTGAGACGGAATTGTTGTCGTGTTGTAGTATACAGAGTTCTGGGGCAATCCCGGGGCATCACTGGGGCACAGATACCACAGATTTGCGGTTCCGTTGAAAGCAAGGACGGAGAAATTTCCGGTACCTGACTCTGCAGTGAAGACTGTCGAAGCTGCGCTACTATAGAGGCTGCTTGTGGTCCAGTCCAAAGAGCCATGGAGCAAAGGAACACTAGCATTAGTGTGCCAGCTCCCTTGCCTCGAAAACGCGCGAAGGTTTCCATCTACTAGCGCGAGGGAAGGGAAATCGTTATATGGATAAGAGGCGTAAGTCTAAAGTAAAAACTGATTAGAAGGATGTTAAGAACATAGCTGACAATTAATCGACGCGCACCGAGGTCACATCGAAAGATTCTCCGTCGATAGCACCTGTGTATGAATGATTATGAGGGCCAGATCAGATACGAAAACACTCGAGCTCTGACCGGCGGTGCCTAACACAAGGGGAGCGCCAGTCAAGTTTGCATTTGGCAGCGTAACATTCAAGGCGGCGAGGGTGAAGTTTTGAGTCAATGTCGTCTCGCTCGAGCGCATCGCTAAGTATACAGGGGATGCGAAGATGAAGCTGGTGGAAGACGACATCACGACAAGGAGAGCAGATCGAAAGCGAAGGGAAGAAAACATGCTTGTCGAGGGTTGAAATTGAAAATAGGTTGAAGGTAGACAAGCAGACGACTGGGGGAAATATGTGATGCTGAGAGTTCAAAAAAAAATCGAAGTCGTTTCGAGTACGGAAGAGTGAATAATGTGAGGATGTTCCGAGCGGTGACTTTATATCACTGTTCCCCTTCGGACAGATACTCATTTTCCGGTGGAGAACACTTCGATAATCAATTATACAGCGCATAGCAATGCAGCGCCTAATACTTGAATCAGTAGTGAGTGAATACTATGATGAAGGAACTATACTTTCATGCGGAAGAAAGAAAGATTCAGAGCTGCTATGAACCTACTGATTTCCGTGTTTGTATCGTGGTTCGTCGACCAAGAATAGTTGCTAAGATTCGCTTTTTGCGGATGCCAAGTCTAATCGCGGAATTGAAAGTAGCGCTGGGAATTTGGTGAGGGAATTTTCGAAGCCGCGAGGGTGCCGGATGTGAATCACGACTCTTTCCAGTTTTCTATACTTGGCGACTCTAGTAGCCAATTGGTGGTTGGTAGTGCTAACTGGTGATGTCCCTTTAGTTCGAAACCTAAAGAAAAGAATCTGCTACTTACTTATTTCCCGCGTAATTTGTTCGTTGGTTGAATGCCACCTGGCCCAGGATACAATTGGATTTGCGTCCTTTCAAGTGCTGCTGAAATCGTCGGTCATGCTGCCAGATATCGTGCTTCTCAAGTGTCGCGTCTTTCCAAGGAGAAGGCTTCTGCAAATAGAGCTAGAGGTGTAACGTTGGAGAATGATTGGAATGATTTGAAGACGAAAACCCAGACGGTGGAAGAGAGATTGGAAGTTCAGGAAAGAGATGGCCAGAGGGAAGAAGAGGGACGTATCGTCGTGCCCTTGCAGCCTGCTTTTGCGCCGACAACCTCAATTTCTGCATCGGTATCTGTTCTGGAGCCGATGGAGACTACGGAGGATCGTGTTCCAATTTCGAAGGAAGCGCATACACCTTCCGAAACCGCCTCAAATACGGTTTCGAATGTTGAAACAAGCATAAGCTCAACCTCTGCCATGCCTTTTGATGAAAACCCACTTGAAGAAGGACTGTCCAAATTTCAGTCATCGGCTACTACTGAATCTCCAACACCAGTCGATCCACTTGAAGCAGAACTGGAAAGAAACAAATCCGCTATAACAGAGCCAGCTGCTGCAGCCTCCACGTTGACCCATAGAAACACTCTTCAATCTTCCAAAGTACCTTCCTCAAAACTGGGCAGGCTCTTTCATTACGGAGGTACGCGTCGTGCAGAGCGAAATCGATGTAGAATTGACTCGCATCTTTCGTTGACAGGCTTAGCAGCATCTTTAGGATATGGAGCAGCTTCAGAATTCCTTCGTCCATCTACATCCTCCGTAAACGCGTCTGGTACACCAAATCGTTCAGCTCTACTGACTGATGCTAACATCGGTCGTCTGGTGTCGAAATTATCCCAAATGAGAGGTGCCGCGCTCAAATTGGGCCAATTTTTAAGTATACAAGGTTCGTGAAATAGACCTGGTATTGAAATAAGCTTCAATAATGTGTTTGTAGATACGCATCTTCTCCCAGCTGAAGTAGATGCTGTATTTAGACGCGTCCAAGACTCGGCGCATTACATGCCTGATTGGCAAATGGAGGTAAGTATGTCTCCTTAACATTGTAGCACAGTGATTTAATTTATGGTAGCAAGTCTTAAGTTCCGCCTTGGGTCCATCTTGGTCCACCGAGTATTTTGAACAATTCAACCGAATTCCATTCGCAGCTGCGTCTATCGGCCAAGTGCACGAAGGAGTGTTGAAGGCGAAATGGAGTCCAACCGGTCTTTTTCTATTATTCGTCTTCGTCTTACAAACATTCAACGCTGTCCTCTTTTCCAGGCGAAGCGGAAAAAGTAGCAGTCAAGGTTCAGTTCCCCAACATCCGCGACTCTATTTCAGCAGATCTTTCTTATATCACCTGGCTATTGCGCGTTACGCTTGGGGGTAAAATATTACCCAAGGGGCTATTTCTCGATAGGACTATGGAAGTACGTACGTCTCTGTTGATGATATACCTGAAACATAAGCATTATACAGGTCATGAAACAAGAACTAACAGACGAATGCAACTATGTACGCGAGGCACATTTCCTGCAGCAATTTCGTTCGTCGGAATTTCTCGGTATGAGATGCTCCTCATTCTCAACTTGGGGCTTCGCTCATTCTGTGAAAACGTACAGGATCTGATTCTCGTTTCCACGTACCTTGGGTTTCATCTGTCTCTAGCGAACAAGTACTCGTTATGGAATTCGTCGAGGGAGGCGTCAGTCTCGGCTCCGACCTCGTTACAGCCTTGCCACAGAACGAAAAGGACAAGGTCTGTTGGTCTTCAGAGTATATTACTTGTTATCATTTTGATTATGATGTTACAGATTGCGACGACAATCCTTCACCTATGTTTACTCGAGTTGTTCCGTTTCGGGACAATGCAAACCGACCCGAATTACTCTAATTTCCTCTACGTCCCCGGTATGTCGAGTTTCTGTGTGCAATGCTCATCAGGTACAATTTCTCATGCACTATTCCTGTAGAAACAAAAAAAATTGCTCTGATAGATTTCGGCGCTACACGAGAGTACGGTCCTGAATTCCTGGACGGATGGCGCAGGCTCCTCGAAGCTGCCGCTTCTCTCGATCTGAATAGTAGTGACTTACATCAAAGCCCTGCCTGGAATGCCTGTGTTCACGAAAGTGTCTCCCTGGGGTACCTAATCGGAGGTCCGGGCGAAGGCGAAGGCTTCGAGTCGCCTGAAATGATAGAAGCGCATGTAACAAGTCTTGCTTTATTGGCGTTCCCGTTCAACGAGAGGACATCGCAACCTGTGCGGTTTGGAAAGGGATTTGAGTTTGGGCGGAACACTGAACGGATACGAGATCTTATACCGGTGATGTTGAGGGAACGAAAGAAGGGTCCGCCAAGGGAGACGTACAGTTTAAACAGAAAATTGAGTGGAGCGTTTTTGTTGGCGTCGAGGTTGGGGGCAACAATTCATGCTCGAGATATATGGGTAGATGTATTGTGACAGATTATAACATTCAACTAGTTTACTGTACACTCATTCCCAGCAAAAATTTTCATGCACAGGTCTAACCAGGACTCGAACCTGGGTTACGGGAAGTAAATTACTCGTCAAAATCCCGTGTGATAACCTCTACACTATTAGACCATTGCATGGCTCCTGAAATTGATAGACTATGTAGTGCCGTCTTTGCTTACAAATTTAGAAGATGATACTCATCAGAATCTTTGCCCTGAGGCTTCGACACCACGCCTGGTCACCTGGAGCACCAGGGAGCTCCTCTTTGTGATTTACTCTATATTATCCACTGGTACCTGCTCCTCTCAGAAATTTTAACGAGGTGTCGGATGTCGGGGCAATTTCAACCACGTTCGAGGATTGGGACCCAGTCGCTCCAAGAACATCTGCGATCGCCTTGCGGGCTGTCAGAGAAACAGTTATCCGAGATTACACAGCTCGTCAAGGTAGCTGAAGACGATCTGGATGGATATCATGCAGAGATATTGCGGTTAGAGGCTAGGATTGTATATCTCAAGTCCGAACACGATCGGCTCGTCGACCATAAATCCACCCTTTCTTCTCTTCTTTCACCTATACATCGCCTTCCGAACGAGATCATGATCAGGATATTCACCTTTTCATGCGATCAAAATACTCTAGACCACTCAAAGCAAAGTCATACGTTAGACGTTAGCGCGGTCTGTAGCAGATGGCGTGCTTTGACTCTTTCGTGTTCGGAACTCTGGGCCACCTTCAGCATAATCTTGCCTCCTATAGTTAACGAGCGTCATGATCCCCAACTGCTAGAATATGTTTTGGATATCTTTCTTGAACGCTCGAAACATCAGCTCCTCACAATCAGCATCGACGCGAATGGTTCCTCGGAACATCCCTTACTACATAAAGTCATGCAAACTTCTCCAAGATGGCGCGATCTGACTTTGAACGTAGATGTTGTGCAATTCTCAGCACCATTACATGCTTGTCTTATTGGGCTGCGACTCCCTGAACTGCAATTCGCCTGCATAGTGCAACCCACAGGGTATGGAATCAGCACCCTGGACCTTCTTTCCGGATCTCCCAAACTTCGTGATCTTCATGCCTTGTCATCGCCGCTCTCTTGGACAAATCCTCACTCTTTGAGCCAGATCACTCGTTTATCGTACTGTCCGTCCTTCACAAATTTCTACGAGTTGCTCGACTGGTGTCCCCAATTAAAAACTCTTTATCTGTCTAACTTCGAACACGATAGAGACATTCGCGCTCGATCCATTCCTGCCAAACAGGTTCCTATAACTTCGTTAACAGTGAGCTTGGCTGGGTACTACCCCATGGTTCAGGACATCCTTCTGGACTCCATGGAATCCCTTGTTGCTCCTGCGCTTACTTCACTCGTACTAGAACAGCACGGTGAACTACCTGATAACCTGTATGCTCCACCTAGCCCTTTCAATGCTGTTGACAGCTTCCTGGCTCGTTCAGCTTGTCCATTGACGGTACTAGTTCTAGATACCATGCCCTTGACAGATTGTGAGGTTGTCGCGCTTCTAAAACGACTACCTTCTCTTGTCGAGCTTACCGTAACGGAATCCAAATTCGAGAATGCTCTCCCTATCACACTCGATTTCGTCGAGAGCCTACACTCGCATAAAAGGAGCGCCCTCCGTTCTTCTGTAAACCCCATTCTGCCAAAACTTCAGACGTTGGTTTTAGAGGTTCAGGTGACTGCGAGTGAATTTGAAAGGGAAGGCTCTACACTGGCGTTGATAGATGTAATCGTGTCTAGATGGTTACCAGAAAAAAGCTACGCGGCCAGTATAGGTGTTTCGTGCCTGCGGTCTGTCGAGTTGTACCTGTTGGGTCCTCCCCGACCAGGCCAATTCCAACTCCTGGAACCCTATGACAAATCGGGCTTGCGATTCGTGGTCGGAGAAAGCAGGGATTTTGAATACCAATAGGCCTGGGATCAAAAGCGAGGGTCGTATCTTGAATCCAAAAGTTTCCTTTGAAAATCCTTTCCGTTCATGGTACGTTTTATCTCATTCTCACTTTATGCGCCTAAATGCGTCTGCACATCTTATTGTAGATGAACGAAATGTTCAAAAGAAGAGCGAGCATTTGACCTCCAAAAAAGTAGACTGGCTGCTTAAACGCTTAGGTCTCAGTTATCGAATGCCCCACAGTTATCAAAACTATGTGTACCTACTATGTATATCACCTTGCTTGCAGGGAGTATCGAGGCAAACTGCACTGCCGAGGGTAAGCTTGCGACGCAGTTGAAGTCGGAATTTACTTGGGATTCTGTTATGGATAGCCCATGGGTTCAAAACTCTCGGTGAGCATCTAAGCAGGACCCTGAACAGCTCGGTTTAATTCCCAATTTCTTTCTCTCCCTGCCAAACCGGGAAGTTTGCTGGAGAATTCGATCGATCACTTTCCGGACTGGAAAGCTAGTACTGTAGTATCATGGACAGCATGGGTACATCAGAAGCACAATCTTCTTCTTGGAGGACACTACCTTCGTAAATCAAGTCGGATGAATCTGAATGGTCTAGCTATTCCGACGATGAAAGTTTAGAGGACTATAAAAGCTTTTCACATATCTCGAGCATTCTGAGACGTTCAAATTATCTCCTTTTTCGTCAACGTGATTATCTGTGGTTGCGTGAATCCCGGCGTGGATGCATTCCATCGCTACTAATTATCTTACCATTGTTGTACTGACAAATTGTTTTCTTTCAGCCTGGCTAGTCTATCGTGTTTCATAAACTCCGGTACTTGCGCAAGAAAAATCATCGCGCGAATAAGACAACCCCGTTTGGTTTTCCAGTTGACATTTAAAAGTTCCTCGTGGCAACCTCGTTTATTCCACAACTTCGCTCCGCCATAACACTCAAAGAAATGACCAGTCGACTTCCCCCTGAAATTTATCACCTCTTCATCGACGAGTTGGCAAATTCACCCCAGCTTCTCAAATCATTTTCTTTCGTGTCGCACGTCTGGTTATCTAGATGCCGCACACACCTTTTTAGACACTTTAGTCTGCACTGTATGCCTTTAGCTGTGCATGATGCTGTCGAGGGGTATTCAGAGTGTTGGTACCCAGCGAATTCTCTTCCGGCCGATGACCCTGATGCCGCAGTGACTGGCTCAAAAGGATATTGTTCTCTGAAATCACTTATGAAAGTCCAACAAATCCGGCAATCCATACGGGAACTATCATTGATCGAAGGAAATATGGTAGATTGTAATCGCTACAAGAAGCTTGATTTTGGAATCTGCCTATCGGAGTTGGCAACCAACATACAGTTTCCAAACCTACGCGCCCTCGCTGTCTCGTTCAATGGACCCGGACCGCGGCAGGACTGCTTAGGTGTCACCGCGGTAGGGAAGCTCATGCGTATCCATTCGAAGCTGGAACACCTTTGCATATCCTCTCTTTATCTTGACACACACTGTTTGCGAAACCTCCTCTACTCTATGAGGGTTTGCGCCCAGTTATCAAATATTCAACTCGAATGCATCACTTGCGCAGCTGATACAGAGTCTTGGATTTCTCGCTACTCTTCTTTGGCATTCGAAGAGAACACCGCAGCATTACTCCAGTGGTCTCGCACACCAATTCAGAGGCTCTCTTTGTCCGACGTTGATCACAATTTGGTCGAAGTTTTGTTTTCTCCAACAAAACCGACTAGATTCCAAATAGAACTGAAGTCACTGGCCATTAATTGTTCGGATTTGGACAGCGATTACGAAACGATGGAAGGGAGCGTAGGATTTAGGTTGATAGACCGCCATGCGTCCAGTCTACAACATCTCTTACTGAAACATCCAAAAGCAATCAATCATGGTCTGTACCTTGTGCAATTTCGTAGACCCACCCGATTAACAATGTTTTCATCCAGCATTTTATGAACCCTTATTAGGAACGACCTTGCCTTTCCTTTCTATCATTGAAATTCATTTCATCAATGTCCACGACGGGAGGTTTCGCTATGCGCTCGAGAACTTATGCGCCTTGCGATCTCCCATCTCAGAATTGCGTATAGGACTGAAATACGGTCCTCGAACGGCCTTCACCCCTCCCATTGATAGGTCGCTCATCAACTTTTCTCGATCACTCCAGTCTCTAAGACGGGTTAGATTCAAAATAATGCACATGATAGACAAATTTAGCTGCCAACATCTGCCAAAGGCTAACCTTCATTTGCAGTTAGAAATTGTACAAGGAGATTGATGTATAAGTACAAGATAGAGTGTTTCATATTTACAGGAAATCGAGCGTCTCTACTAGGTATGAGGGCGAGCAAGAGTTGATTATGATACCGTCATCAGAGGAAGAGTCCGCGTCTTCAGCGCCGTCTGGATTCCACCCCGCTTGTCTCATTATATCTTCCCAGGGGGATACAACATGATCTGGGATCGGGGCGCTCAACGCAAGGTCAAAGCGATCGTTTTGAAGAATGAACTTGTGCAGAACTGGATTTATACTTATAAAATATCTGATATTTCAACAATTGACATGAATTCAGATGAATCATGTTCCTCACCAAGCTGCGAAGTCTGGCGATAAGTAGTGTGGCGCACCAGGGACTTCTAGTAATGAAGCTTCAACACCAGCTTCTTCTAATTGTCGAAGAAACTCTTCTGCATATGACCTTGGATATGCGACATCTTCAGAACCATGCACCAGTTTTACAGAGCCAATTATTCGAGCCAATACAGATTTTGGATGAGATTTGCGGTTGAGGTAGAAGTCAAGGTTCATGATGCGAAACTGATCCAAATGATGATAGTTCCACCTGACCATGGCGACTGGATAAGTGACACGAGTCATACTGTCGACACTTGAAATCAGTAGTACTCAATCAGATGCCAGCATTCACATACGCTGTTACAAGAGGGGAGAGCTTCGGATTGCTGAACATGTACTGTATGTTGCCAAAGCCCGCATCATAAATGGCATCTTCTTTCACAGTCGATTCATCTGGGAAAGCGGACGCCCAGATGTCATTGACCTCTTTGTGACCCTCGGCTACTTCGAGTGGCTAGAGCGATGGTATGAATAAAGATTAAAGATGTGTGAGAGGCATGAAATTCACTATTTCAAGGCACAAGTGAGACATCAAAAACATGGACAATACACG